TTTCAGGAGGTGTTTGACCACTTCAGTGTGTCCACTAAGAGCCGCTGCATGCAGAGGTGTAAATCCCTGCTTATCCCTGCAGGACACATCAGCACTGCGCGCTACTAAGAGCTCCACCACCTCCAGATGCCCTGATCGGCAGATACAATCAGTCTCTGTAAGATAACGCACTATTCTGAGCACTATATTAACACACATGCTGCTTCAGAGGACCAGATACCTTGATGAGCAGCCAGATGGATGGGCTGCCTGTCCTTTATGTCTCTGGCACTCAGGTTGGCCCCTTTGTTTAGAAGCATGGTCACTGTCTAAGGACATTGTTGATTAGTTGTTAAGAAAAGTATTACATAACATACAAACCTCATCAATAATGTTTAAAGTCCCCCTGTAGTCAATAATTTCATCATTTAAAAGCACATCTATGATCACCAAAATTATTTATTTTTTTCTTAAAATATCTTGAGTGTAACTCGACACCCTTGTCTCATTTAGTATACTCGGTTCTATGAATATGCAAATGAGCTCGGCCTCCAGTCACTCACTCAGCTGGTGGACGATCACACGTCGATCTGATTGGTTACTTTGTGACGTCAGAAACACCAGCGATTTCAAAACGTGTTTTTGAGGCTACACAGAAAATACTCAGCAACGGTGTGCACTTATGAATTTACACATGGTTTGTCTTAAAGCATATTTAAAACACCACACAGGGGGACTTTAAGAGATATTGAAGGCTACGTCTGCATGAATACAGATGTGTGAAATACGCCTTCTGTTTATGAAGACGTTTATTGTAGTGAGGTTGGAGGTATTAGAAAACCATAATGCAAATTGTGCTATTACTACATTGGCATTGCTGAGCCTGCTATTTACTTTCAGTGTTGCTAAATGTTACTTTCAAAGCAAATATTACAGAAATGTTTCTCACAATTGCCGTTCTGTGTCAAAACATGAGGGAAATTGTGTTTTTGACAATACAGTGGTGGCCAAAAGTAATGTCCGGCCTAGGAAAATTGACATCTTCACACTTTACTCAAATAATATTCAAAATTTGCTAAAGATTTTTTAAGCATAATGCATAGTTGTTAGCCTGGATGACAGCCGAACTTTGCCCCGCCCACAACATTTGAGTTCGGTCTGGACTTGATCAGTTGTGTGAAGCAAGTATGCCCGAACCAAAGCTGTTCGGACCAATCAAATTGTAAGGGGCGGGCTTTATACGATGATGGACAGATGATCAACAGTAACGAGTTCAACCCAAGCTCTCTTTGGTGACGTGGATGATTACGTTTACAACAAAGATGGCCGCCGCTGGAGAACTGAGATGTGTAGATTCAGCCATCACGTCTGTTATAGAAGAAATCAATTCTGTGAGGAATTGATTGGATGGTTGTGGTTTGCTATTGGTGGATCTCATGTGAGTGACAGGTTGCCCCGCCCTCGTCATCAGAGAAGAGAAGAGATGAAGGGGAAATTATTCTGATTTAAAATTACAATATGCACAGATCAATCATTTACAATAAACACCACAATATTGCATTTAAAAAAAAAGGATTGATTTCATGGTGAACTTCAGTGTGAACGAGAAACTTTTGGAAGATGCTAGTGTGGACAGAGAGCGTTTTGAAACGAAATGTATCCTGATTAATGTAGACGTAGCTCGAGGTTGAGTGTCAGCTCTTGCCATACCTCCGCATGTCCACTGTGGACGGCGTGATGTAAAGCCGTTCTCCCAAACCGATCGGCTACATTCATGCAGCTCACGTAGGGAAGCAGAGCATCCACACACTTCGTGGCTCTGTTGGCTGCAGCTACATGTAGTGGCGTCTGACAGAACCTGTCCTGTGTGTTCACCTCTGCTCCCGTCCTCAGCAGAAGCACAACAGAGCCCTGCATCACAGCAGCACATCATGAGAAAAACAGACAATAAAATGAACAGCAAAATGATGTTTTAAAGTCCTCTCATACTTGGTTCTGTGAGGCAGCGGCCCGATGCAGAGGAGTCAACCACTCCTGGTCTTTAGCGTTAACATTAGCACCTAAAACACAAGATAACAGGCCATCAAAGATGAAAACAAAAAGACAACATGTTCTAAATGAATGTTAAAATTAATATAACAATTACAATGTATACACCACCGGTGTAGAGTGTCTTATCCTCAGCAAGCCCAGTAATATTTTTTAAATATTACAACAATCTTAAAAGTCCCCCTGTGGTGAAAATCAAGCTTTTATGTGGTGTTTTAATATTCTTTAAGACAAACCATGTGTAAATTCATAAGTGGACAGCATTGCTGAGTATTTTCTCCTTAAAACTGCAGTGAACCAAAGACAGTCTCAAAAACACGGTTTGAAATCGCTGGTGTTTCTGACATCACAAACGACCTTGTAACCAATCAGATCGATGTGTGATCGATCGTCAACCAGTGGGTCTCTGAGTAAGTGCTTGAGTGGAGGCGGGGCTCATTTGCATATTCATAGAACCGTGTATATTAAATGAGGCAAGGTTGTCGTCGAGTTACATTCAAGCACTTTTAAGACATGAAGATTTTTTTTTTAAAGAAAAAACATTAAAATATGTAATTTTGGTGAAATAAATGATTGACTACAGGGGGACTCTAAAAGAAAAGTTTTCTATGTGAATATATTGTAATATTACATTTTTTCCTGCATTTTTTTTTTTTGCATTATTACTCTAGTCTTCAGTTTCAGAAATCATTTTAATATGCTGGTTTGTACCTGAACTGATGAGGATCTCCATGATATGAACTCCACCCACATAGGCTGCAGCATGAAGGGCGGTGCGGCACTCCTGGTCCTGAAACAACAAATAATTATTGCCAAGAAAAATGTGTGCTCGTTCTATAATTTTAATACAGCATTCTAGTCATCATGTATGTGAAATTAGTCTTAAAAACATGTAAAAGAAGTATCATAATTTGTCAGAATCAGCATGTGTATTCAAATATCATAAGACAAAACCATATCATACCAGTTCATCCACTTCTTCCATTTGTTCCAACAAAAATTCCACCATTTCAGCATTCTGGCTGAACACTGCCTGGACCAGGAGCGACTACAGAGAGACATGGATCAGTAAAGTTTGCATAGGAAATTATTTATGAACACGGGGTTTGTGAAAAGTGTCCACATTATCATTTTCAAAGTCAGGTTTATTGCCATTTGTGAAGTCACCATGAAATTGACTATCATATACTGGAGTATTTATATAAATTGTTTAAGTGCACAACATCATTGGGTTGAATTTTTAAGAAAAATAGAAGAAAAAAAACTAAATATTTTGCCCACGGCTACGAAAATATAGAGATCATACTGTTGTTGACGTCATGTGGGTTTTTACTCGACAGCGTAAAAGGCCACTATCAGGAGAACAGATTGATATAACTAGTTTTACGAAGACAGTTTTGATCTAGTTGTCTTTATCACCACATTAAGTATATTAAAAATCAAGCTGAAACAATGCCACAGAACAAACTAAACATGTCCTGACGTCTGACCATGCTTCTGAAGAAAACTAAAGCGAAAAACACATACCTGCTCTTCTATGTTTAATATTCCCATCTCCTCAGATTAGCCAGGTCTAAGTTTATTCATTAGGAATCTTATAATGCAGTAATACGTGTATGAAGAAAATAAAGTTTGCTTTGAACGGCGAACAGTGAGCGGGTCCACTCGTCTGGTTAAACTCAATCTGCGCTGTAAGGCTGTAACATGAAGCTGAGCTGGTGGTTTACAGCGCCATCTACGGCAGAACACAGGAATTACATCACGTGAGTTCCCTAGATGTCACATTTGACATTTTCAGAATAAAAGATGAAACAAAATGGATTTCTAAACAAAGACAACCTATTTTTACTTTGCTAACATTACCATAGAGCGTCACTGTGAGTGTTTAATAGTTGCTCAATGCGTTATTTCCCATTCAGTGTTTCCTGCACACCGTTAAACAAAATATAGGCCTTATTCCTTCGTGGGAATAAAATAAGATAGAAATGTAATTCAAGATTGCGATGGGTGAAAAAAGACTTGATTGTCTTTTCCCTTCGTCTCTGATCATTAATTTGTGCCTGTTTATTCCCAGTAGAATACATGAAGAGTTCAGATGCAAAAGCCTCTAAATGCCATTTGAAATTTTCTTCTTTAATGATGATTTTTATCAAACTTGTATATTTAAGTTCAGTAATTTCACTTAAATTGCAATGATAGTTACCTATTAATTGTTATTTAAGTGAAATTACTGAACTTAAATATATAAGTTTGATAAAAATCATCACTAAAGAAGAAAATTTCAAATGGCATTTAGAGGCTTTTGCATCTAAACTCTTCACATTTTCCTCAAACGATCAGATCAAACAATTACAAAAAGCACAAACCATAACATCAGCTTGAATCAGTCGGCCCATTCTCCTCTGACCTCGAGCATCAACAAGGCATTTTGGCCCACAGGACTGCCGCATACTGGATGTTTTTCCCTTTTTACACCATTCTTTGTAAACCCTAGAAATGGTTGTGCGTGAAAATCCCAGATTGTGAAATATCAGACCAGCCTGTCTGGCACCAACAACCACCCCACGCTCAAAAATGCTTAAATTACCTTTCTTTCCCATTCTGACATTCAGTTTGGAGGTCAGGAGATTGTCTTGACCAGGACCACAACTGCCATGTGATTGGTTGATTAGATTATTGCATTAATGATAAATTGAAACGGTCTTCCTAATAATCCTTTAGGTGAGTGTACTTCAAACATTCAAATTTCAATAAGTGGTCATTCTCTGAGAAACTTTACACCCATGACAGGGAAAGAACTGTTAAAATGAGGGAACAGTTTACTAAAATATTATTTACCATGAGACAAGCTTTCTAAAATATGGTATTTACATAATGAAGATATTAAAGGATCTTTGGCTTTTATTAAATTATGACCACCATTTTGATATTTTACAGAGAAAAAATACAAAAAAATGCATTTTTTTTCCTGAAATATTTTAATAGTTAATACAATAGTAGAAACAAGATGGTGAAACATTGCATAATCAGTAATAAATACAAATCTGGTTCAATAGAAATCTACACCGCACCCATAGGGTACAAGTTCTGTAGATATAAATAACATAATAATAATAATACTAACTACAATAAATAAATATATCAAAGTCATTTAAAATTTATCCAGTCAAAACAATAGGGTTATTCCAAAGTTGAATTTAACTTTGCCAAGAAAACCCATTATAACTTTTGTATTACAAAAATACAGTTGCAGAATATACCAAGTACTGCTTTGGTCTCTGCGGGTCAGCTTTTGGACATTGAGTTGTCGGCCTGGTTCAGTCTCTGAGGGTCAGCTATTGGACATTGAGTTCGGCCTGGTTCAGTCTGTGCGGGTCAGCTATAGACGCAGAGATGTGGCGAAGAGTCCGAAACACGTCCTGGGTGAAGCTGCGCAGCTGCTGGAGGGTAAGATGAGCCGCCACTTGGACCTGGTAATCACTGCGGAGCTGCAGGGAAATCCCTGGAAACCCGTCCTGGGATTCTGGACTGGGAATCTGGGCCAGCCGTTGGACCTGAGCCAGAAGAAGAGCGAGCATTAATCATCGAAGATCAGCTCGTTTTAGAGAGAAAGGCTCAGTGAAATGTACCGTGTGCAATATTGTAGGGTTAACAAGGAAATGGGAAAGACTAGTGAAATTTCAGCTCATGAATTTTTCACTTTAGGCTCTAGGTTTTTTATTTTTTCATTCAAACATACACTGAACAAAATGATACATTTTTCCACTTTTGTTTTTGCCCCCATTTTTCATGACCTGAACTCGAAAACTTTTTCTATGTACACAAAAGACCTATTTCTGTCAAATATTGTCCACAAATCTGTCTAAATAGTGAGCACTTCTCCTATCCGTCCCCCTCACAGCTGTGGCGTATCGAGATGCTGATTACACAGCACAGGTGTGCCTTAGGCTGGCCACAGTAAAAGGACACTCTAAAATCATGTCTTAGAAAAAATCTTTGAACTCTTTGAACAAAATTATAAACGCAACACTTTTGTTTTTGCCTCCATCTTTTATGTGCTGAACTCAGTGTAATACAATAGGCAGCATTATTTTAATGACTCTAAAATGGTATGTTTTCAACCACATATAATAATAATTGTATCTTATTTATATAAAAAGTCGGCATGAAACAGAAGACGCCTTCAGAGAAGAGAAGACATGAATGTATTTCAAGATTATGAGGCATGTGAATTTAAACGATGATACATCCTTTCGAATAAACAGCAACACCCTAACCCTAACCCAGCAAGAAAACCAGAAGTGATGTGATGGTGTTGGAGAGGCAGAAGCGTTGAGGATTACCTCTTCCACCTGAACACGCAGATCTCTGACGCCCACGAGCAAAAGCTTCAGCTCTTCTGAGGAGCTCAACGCCACTCCCACCTCTTCCAGAAGTCTGCGGTGAAGCTCCAGGCCATTTACAATATGGTTTAAACTCGTTTCCTGGTAAGAACAAACAGTCAAGAACTGTTAAACAGTTCTTTGCAAATGTTTTACATGCAAGTTTCATTCATTTAAAACATCTAACTAAGTAGGGGTCATGCCAGTGTTTAAACTCGACGACATTTGCAGGTTTGGTTCAGAATTAGATCCATAAATCAGAAGAGCTGCTGTGCTTCAACACAGTTATGCTAAAATGCTCTACTGACTCTAAAATCATCAAAAGCAACATGCATCTCAATAGATATCCTAAACCCTATTGTATGCTTCTTCCAGTTCTATATTTAACATGCTTACACACACTTTAGAGTAGAGAGTATTTACCATGGTGAGCTCCTCTGACTTGAGCACTGGTGGCGCAGGAATGCCAATGTCACCTAATAAATACTCCAAGCTTTTTGCTTCACTGGAAAAAGTCAAACCCTGCAAACAAACAAATACAATTTCCATTATTATATAGAATATAACGCTTACAATTAACTCCTGTATTCTGTATCACTGTTGTCAACTAAAATGCATTAAAATGATAAATTTGACAAGAATGTATTATTAACTTGTGCTGATCTAAAGTTATGTGACCATATTTCATAATGCTTTAATGTGTCCTGTAAAGCTGCGCCTGCTCACCGCTGATGTGACGCACGCGTCGTGCGCTCCGCGAATGTCGCCCAGGATCTTCTTCGCTAAACTCATGGCGTTCTCCACCGCGCGCGTCAGCTCGTGGCCGCGAAGCGGCGCGCTACAGACCAGTGTCAAACAGCAGAGCACGACGAGAACTGCGGAAAACAGTGTTAAATACATTAGACCATCTGAAACCTACATCACCAACACTGACGGACGACGCTCACAGACACACACACGCGCGCACGCGCGCACAGTGTGTGCACAGCGAACACAGCTGACAAAGTTGAAATGTGTATATTTTTATATTTATTAGCAATGTGTTAACCATTTTTAGAAAATATTCTTTAAGATCTACTTACTGAACTTCATTGTGGTTCGAAGTCTATGTAATATGTTGCAGACAGTGATTCTAGTATTTAAACCCATTGGGATTGTTCAACCAGGGAAACTTCCATGAGTTTTACGTGTATTGCGTGTGTATTGCGTGCGTATGAGGTGCGTTGGGAAAAAACATAATAGATAATTTCTAATGCTTCCGGATGTTGGGATAGGGGGATATGACACTCATTTATGACACTCATTTAACATGACACTAATATCAGTCAATCGCTTATAAGCTCTCGGGAATTCTGCAGTTTCGTCACTGCAGGAAGTACAACACAAAACACCAAACCACTCCTTTATCACTAACTGTACATTATGATTCGCATACTTCTGGCTGTATACTTTTCTTTTACTGTATTTCGACCATCTCTGTTTTGTTGAAGTTCAGTTTAAAGATACATGGTTAAATTAAATGGCTTTTTGTGTTTGGAAAGAACCTCAATCCAGATCAATTGAAATACAAAGGCTTGGCGTTTAGAAATGTGAACATTTTTAATTCATGTATACTGCGATAATTTAAAAGTATTTGTAAAATTTGTATCTTTTTCATGTATGATACGCCCTCCCAGGTCTTTCATAACTTTTATTTTATTTTTTATTTTTGTATTTATGTTTGTAAATGTTAATATGGTCATTTTAACATCTGCAAAAGGACTACAGTTGGAAATAAGGCTATTTGCCGATATTGGCACATTTACAGAAATTTTAATCAATGTGCACTGTGATAAAGAAATGATAAATGATAACATGGAAGCTGGTTTACAAGCACATTTTTTCCTGCAATGATTTGATTTATTGATATTTGTATTGTGACACTCACCAATAAATGACAATAAAAGATATTGTAAAATACATTTTTAATTTTTCACCCTCCTGAGGTAGGACCACATTTAGTAGCAAGTACAGTTGTATATTTCTTTGTCGTTCTAGTGTCGTACATCTTAATGCTGGAAGTTTCACCCCTTAAAACTTATCAAAATTCACTCTCAAGTTCCAGGGTTGCAAAACACATTGTGATTAAAACCTCCTGAAGCTGTTATCTCTTTGAATATTAAGACCGCTTTGTGCTACTAAATATTAAAACACCATGGCTCCATACTAGTGAAAAAATAAATTGGGAGCTTAAAAAAACAAGATTGTTCTAATTATTCACGTGGATTTCTGAATTATTAAAAAAAAACACACAATATAACATGATAGTATCCATATAGCAGAATGCATACTGGATACAAACAACAAATGTTGATGAATACAGAAGAAACTACCAATTAATTTTTATTTGGGTAGAAAACACAAAAGATGGTAAACTGTGTATATTTCTCCATATAAAGTGATGACAGCCTAATAGTTTAAGACTTTAACTAATAATCTGCTCAGATTCGTGACCTGAAAGCATCCCACAATCTGTGCTCGTAATAAATATACTGCAAATGATCTTCTAAACTAAAAACTAAGTGCATCCAAATAGTGTTAAATATAAAAGTATAACCATTGGAGAGACTCATAAAGAGATCTCATTTTAGCTGTAGAACGTCAGCTTTAATAAATGACAATGAACAATTTCGATGTTAACGCCATTAATACAGTTGAACAGGTCAACAGTTAACCCATAGGGTCAAGTACATCACATAATGTAGATCTCAGCATGTTCAGTGTCCTCAACAAGTAAGAGAATCAGTGTGTTAGCTGAAGGTTATCAGGTGAACACACTGGTAAAGCTGCTCGGCTCATAACTCGTCGTGTGGTATCTTCAGAGCGTGGTCACAAAGATCTGTGGGAAGAGTTACAAAAAACTATCACATACGTGTAATATGCAAAATGTATTGTTGATACGGGATGATCAAGATGTCCTTTTCAATGTTACGCAATATCGTACTGTACACAAGGGATTATTATTTAACTAAACATTCAATTCTGTCATTATTTTCAAACCCTCATTTCACTCCATTCGTCGAACACAAATAAAGATATTCGACACTTCATTGAAAGCCGATTCCCCAAAACGTTCATAAAGAGATCATATAATAAATCCATATGAATCGAGCAGTTTTAATTCAAGTCTTCTGAATCTGAAGAGACACACTCGCTTTATGATGAACAGATTTCATTTAGGCTTTTATTCACATATAAACACTGATCAGCGAACATGAACAGAAGCTCAAACGCGCTGCGTAACATGAGAATGAGCTTCGGTTCATGTTCGCTGATCAGTCTGTGTCATCCGGAGGTTTGCCGGCCGCATATGTCATCAAGGATATCTAATCTCAGGTTTCGGGTACAGGTATTAAAAAAAAAATGGTTTTCAAAGTGCAAATTTTTGAAAACAATACCGTTAGTCTCCGTGTAGACGCGTAGTTTCAAGGTCACATCGCCATCTACTGGCCTGGCAGCAGAATAGAGCGTTTTAAGTGGTTTTCGCAAATCGGTGTGTATGGGAAACGTCTCAAAAACACAAAAGGAAAAACATTTCCATTTGTAGTGCATCGTTATCATGTAAACGTACCCTAAATCTGTTATTCATATGAAGTGATCGAGTCTCTTCAGAAGACTTCACTGTAAAAAATAATCATGATTTTAACGGTAAAAGACCGTAAAAATGCTACAGTGCAAAACTCTTAATTGGTTAACCGAAACTTTCCGTACTATATACGGTAAATAAACTGATAAAATTTTACTGTAAAATACTGTTAAATTGACAGTTTTTGAAAGTGAAAAAGAACAACTCATTGTATAATTTACAGTGAAAAACCGTAAATTGATATTCCCACAATTCCCTGTGTGACACTTTACATTTTATGTATTTTTGCTGAAATAATGGTTCCTCATAGTTTTCTTGTTTTTTTTCTAATCAGTTATGTACATAAGGGTTTTATGTTACATTTAATGTTGTTAAATTAATGTTTGTTGCGTTGTTTTTTTTTATTATTTCATGTGTGTTACCATGATGGTGTTTATTACAATGGTACAAAACAGATATCAATTTTACAAAAGGTTTGTAAATCAACATTTTATGAGATAATGAAATACAGTTTATTACTGTTTAAAGTCTGTAAAACCATTAACATTCCTACCATATTTTTAACGGTTTTTTAACGGGTATTTTAAAAGTTCTGGCAACCACAGCTGCCGTTTTTTTTATCGTAAAAATTGCGGTTTTATTTTTTACAGTGTTGGATTAAACCACTTGATGTATTTTATAATCTCTTTATGAAGCATTATAGTTTTAAGTGAACAGACAGAAATCGCTTAAATTTCATTAAAAAGACGAGCGATAGTTTTGTGGGTTTGGAACGTCATGAGGGCGAATAATTCCTGGCAGAATTTTCATTTTTAAGTGAACTATCCCTTTAAATTAGCTTGAAACTAGATGTCACAGGTAACCAGTAAAAGAGATGCATGTGGGGTGGGGTGGGGAAGTTATATGACTATGTTGTAATAAAATAGCTTAAGACAGATATGTGAATTTCATATAAAGGCTTGAAATAAAAGAATACTGAATCATGTATGCACATTTTCAGCGTTACCTGTCCTCTTACTGCAGAGCTTGTCTTTAACGTTGTCTATCTCATGAGAAAAGAATTCAATAAGTTCGTCCTCATGCTGCTCAACGATCGTTTCACACTGTGAAGAAACGTGAGACAAGGAAAATGCATCAATCAACAGGAAAGTGCATCCTATTTGCACAAAATACCAAAATAATTTGTGTTTTGAACTGTAGTTTAAAGGGTTAATTCACCCAAGAATGAAAATAATCCCATAATTTACTCAACCTCAAGCCAACCCAGATGTACAGTACACGAGTTTCTTCTTTCAGCCAAACACGGTCAGAGTTATGTTAAAAAAATATCCTGGCTTTTCCAAGCTTTATAATGGGAGTGAATGGTGCCTTAGATTTTGAAGCCTAAAAAAAAGCACATTCATCCATGATAAAAGTAATCCATAGTAAGTAGTCCAGTGGTTATTAAAGCCAGTGATTATTATAGTTTATAAAGTTATAAATATGGATATTTTTCTTACACAAATGCATCACTTCACTTCAGAAGGCCTTTATTAACCCCACAGAGTCGTACGGATTACTTTTATCATGGATGGATGCACTTTTTTGGGCTACCATTCATATTCATCTCATATTTTTTAACATAACTCTGAGTTTGGCTGAAATAAACACCTAGGATAATTAAAATTTTTGGGTGAACCATCCCTTTAAGGTTTGTCTAGTCTTAATGCGTGAGTAATTGAAAGAATGGATCTCACAGCAAACTTTAAACTGGATGTGACTCTGGAGTCAAAGGCCACATCGGAAAGGTCCATGGCAGCGCCGTCACGGGCCGCGTGCCTCACGTATGTCTTTCGATTGGTGGCAGGGTCAACACGTTCACCGTAATCATTCATCTTCTCACAAACCTCTTCCATCAGTTCAAGGAGATGACCTTCAGAGCGAGAATAGGGAACCTGAGGACGTTAAAACAAATACATGATCTCAAAGTTGAGGTAAAAAAACAACTCAGAGCCAGGGTCGTTAGGAAACAAAAATGTCACCTCTTTTACTGACTGACTGCCATCAGGATTAATCCTAAATGATCCCGTCTGGATCATTTTCCTGGGATCTACTTGTGATATGGCCCATTCCATTTCATCAACTAACGCCCTGCATGCTGAGGGGGAATAAGCATGATGCATTTCAGAAATAATATTTTAAACATTTGCAATTATTAAGGTATGTAACAGAGCAATCAACCCACAATGGTTGTCTATGTATCAGAAAATATTAATGGGTTCGTGTAAAGGTCGAAGAAGCTGGAAACACCTCCACATTTGATGTCTTGTCTGGCTCCTTGGACCAACATTAGGTGCAAAGAGATCAACGCACAGAAGATAACCACGTGAAAATGTCTTTCCATCCCCACCTAAGAAAACAAATTAATAAAAATGTCAAATAAATACAGGTTATTTCATCATACAATAATATTTCACTGCAAACTTGGATTATAGTTGGGATACATCTCCGAATGCCGGGTACACAAAGATTTATTTTTTACAAAAACACAAGCGAGCAATAAAATCCAACATTGTGTGTATAATAATCGCACAACATCACACTTCAGGAAACATACATACCGTTTTCTTTAAACGCACCGCACCGCACACACACGCGAAGATGAACTGATGACGTGCACACAGGATGAGTGTGGCTCAGCGGCTGACCTGAGATCGGCCACAGTTCGGTTCTTCTTCTTGAGTGGGGTTGGCTGTTGACAGTGGCTGTTTGGTGCATTACCGCCATCAACCGAACTGAAGCGGAATACAAACTTGCTTTTTATTTTATTACTTTTTTATTGAACAATTATTCATGTACAAACAATATGGCAGTATTATTACATCTTAACATTAGAACATACACAGCGGGTGCATGAAAGAACAAATACACTCAAAAAATAAATAATAAAATAAATTAAATTAAGGGACTAAGGTTTTTCTTTTAAATCATATTGTTCTATGATGGAAAAATACTAATATTTATATAGCACATTTCATACAAAAAGTGCTACATACATACATAAAGTGCTTTACATAGAAGAAATTAAAATCATCAAAAGAAATCAAAATAATTAAAATAGTTTAGAATTTTAAAAAATAAATAAAATACAGTAAATGGTGGTCAAAAAAGCAGAAGAAAGAGAGTCATACAAGTTTGGAACAATTTGAGGTTCAGTAAATAATGGTAGAATTTACATTTTTAAGTAAACTATTCCTTTATTGTTTGTTTTTTTTTTAAAAAAAGTCTCAACATGATGCATTTAATCTTAAAAATGCAATATTATGAAATATTATTAATGTAAAATAACTGTTTGAATGCCTTTTAACTGTGCTCAAAGCTGACTTTCAGCCCCCAGTCTTCAGTCGTTCAGAAATCACTCTAATGTTTCTGCCACTTAATATTGTTGTGGAAACCATGATTAATATTTTTTTCAGGATTTTATGATGAATTGAAAGTTCAAAAGAACTTAATATATTTAAAATATAAAGACGTTGCAACATTATAAATGTATTTACTGTCACTTTAATCAATTTAATACAATGTTGATTCCCTTCTTTCTTTCTTTTTTAAATCTTACTCCCATAAACGTAGCCTATATCAGTTTCCCCAAAAATATTAAGCACTTCTTCTTTTTTTAAGACAGCAATAATAAATAAATGTGTATAGCCTAAATGTAGGCTATTGTAGCCTATCACGTTATATTTTAATCAAGTGACCGATGTTGTTTTGCCATTTTTTTTTTTTTTTAAATCTAAATCACAAGCAGCAGAAAGATTTTTTTTACAGTTCTGGAGCTTTTAACAGAGCAAAAGAAAAAAAAAATTGTTCTGATCGGGGGAAAAAACGACTGGAATTGTAAGTATAGGCCTCCAGTAGACAGTAATAGTATACTATTTTACTTGTGGGAAGCCATCATAAATATGCCGTCGTTGTGTCCGCAGAGATTTGGTTTCATAGATTCACAGAAGTCGTTGAATAGTAGACAAACAGCGACACAGCCTATGATGATACAACTTTAAAGGCGATTATTTTATTGAATAAATAACACGGAGCGAGTGAATGAAGATGTACATTCACTCTCTGACGGCAGATGGCGCTGATTGTCAGCTAACATCAATAAACAGATGTATTTTATTAACATACCTATTTTACTGTATCAGCTATCGCTCATTGTTAATGTTAGCCTACTTAATTCACCTAACGTTAACTAATGGGACCTTATAATGTAAAGCGTTACCTATTGTTCTTTATAGTTCTTTTGCACTTTAATCTGTTTAAAACGTGTTTTGCTTTATAATTTGTGTGTTTTGTTTTATTGTATAGCCTATTTAAATGTTCTTTAAAAGTTATTTTTATTGTTAATGTTATTAAACATGTTTGGAGGACAACACAACACATGATAGGCCTATATAAACACATAAGGTATAAAAGCTGTCACTTGGAAAGTAGGCTATTAAAAATGTTCTAATACCATTTAGGTGCTAAAATGTACACTTTTGCTACCAATATGTGCCTTTAGTGTACTAATATGCTATATGTACTAAAAATGTCTATCGTGGCACGGATATAATTTTAGATAATTTTTCACAACGGACAACATTGTGAAATGTTGTTTCACAATGTTGTCACAATGTCACGGATTCCGTGGGTGATTTACTTATTATGCCTAACACTTTTGACCTCAAAACCAACACCTTCTATGACCTTTTTCAAGACTGTGATTGAACAGGTATAAATATCACTTTTATTTCGATTGACTGTGTGACCAGATGCATTATGATTTAAAGCATACAAAATAACAGGAACCCCTTTCTCATCTTTTAAAAACAGACAGCTAGGTGTCATCTGCCAAGTTGACAAATTAAGTATGTTCAGCTACAAACACCCTGAACATGTAACTTACACAGCGAGTAATATTACAAATATTGAGAAAACAAAAATGTCTTGTCTGATCTCTGCGCGTCCCTGTGGTTGATCCAGTGGAGTTTGCCTGAAATGCCTGCTCGTCTCCTGCAGAGGGCGGTGTTGATGAACTCCTCCTCCTCCTGCACTGACACGACAGCCGTCGGGCTCGGACCGGAAGTCATTCATTTCCAGTGAAGAAGAGTAGTACGGGAGCTGCGTGGAGTTCCGATCATGATCCAGACGAGCCATTGAAATACAGAGTTATGACACTTCCATAGACCGCCGTATTTAACGGCTCTGTTCCGATCATAAGCGGAAATTTCGGGTCCGATTTGTTGACATATCTGAACTTCTGCGGCTGGACCGAATGCGACCAGTCGACCGGATGTGATGTATTCTAATCAAAACTAAGCGCGCGAAGCTAGAATTACCAATATTTTTTTAACACTTTAACGTTATTCTGTAATATTTATGTAATATATAATTATTTTATAATTATTAAATCAATATTTAATATTTGATTTAATGTTATTTCAATATTTTATAATTATTTAAATAATAATTTAGTATTGATTGGCTCTATAACATCGACGGTGTTATTATTTTAGATGTGTTGAGGGTCAATTCATAGCCGAGGGAAACTGTTGCTTTACGGCCAATTTTAAAGTCCCGTTCGACTGCCGCTAGAGGGCGAATGGGGCGAATGCGATAATCGTATGCGAATGACGTGTGCAGTGGAAAGGCGGGGAAATGCGCTCATTTCCAAGGCGTTTCCGTTATCTTGCATCTGCAGGTCACGCTTCTGAGAGGATGTGTGCGCGCGCCCTCAGATTCAGTATAAGTGACATATAGGAAGCGCGCGACTTCAACTCGAGGACAACACTGCGGATTAATTTCAAAGGTATGAGCTGCAGTTATTATGTATTCACTTTAGTTGTTAATGTTAGGTCTATCCAGTAATAATACAAGTCTAATAATAATAATAATACAAGTCAATAATACAAATACAAGTGATTATATACGTGTGTGTGTGTGTGTGTGTGTGTCTGTGTGAGAGAGTCTACTTCTTGTATACGAATGTGTTATGTGTTTTTATTATTTTCCGTGTCTGTAAAGGTGATGTGAACAGTGTAACATTCAGAAAAATGTCTATAGACGTTCGCCACAGCTGTGAATTGCATTTCAGACGTATCGTTAATCATCAAAATATCGTTTTAAGTATATCCTAATATCATTTTCACAATGTATTGATGTCATACATTTGCATATCTATTTGCATTTATTTGCAACATTCTCAATATTTGAGTCCAAAGTTGAACAAGCAGCATGCGTTAGTACATTCATACAATACACTCACTGTTTAAATTCACTTAACATTAAATTTGACTATTTTCTTCAGTGTTATGGTGGCACATCTAGTGCTAATCTCTTGGCAACTTGACACTCTGTAAACTCATGTGTTCGACATCTGTGAGGCATTTCCTGTGATTTGTTTTGCACAAAGAGTCTGTTATTGTCCTCGGGTGTTCGTCGTGACCTTTAAGTTTTTGTCCCAGTTGGACTTCTTTTTTTAGGTTGATAATATTTTTGAAGCTTGCCCTGATTTTCTCATGACCTATTTAGTGTTAAAACTGACATACTTAAAAAAAAAAAAAACATAATAAAAGTTAATATTTTTTTTTGCCATATCAACCTAAAATTGGGAACACCACTTGTTCAGATTTTCTTACACTTAACATGTTTTGAAAATATATGAATAATTACATTGTACATTTTCATAAACTCAAACTTTTTCTGTTTCACTTTCCACGTCTACACAAATCTGCCAAATGTCTTCTTTAAAACGAGACCGTACTTTCAGCATTCTTGAATTACAACCATTGATGGAATGTGCATTTTCTTGTTGACTATCATTACTCATCATTATGACTATGAGATCTATAGAGCAGATAATCACAGGTGTGTGTGTGATTCACAGGTCTCCGTAATGGCAGAGTTGCTTAGGGCACTCCTGAGCGTGGCAGAAAAAGCCGCAAACGTGGCACGCGTCTGTCGCCAAGAAGCGACTCTTTTTGAGCTCCTGGTCCAGGAAAAGACAGGAGCTGACAAAAACAAGAAATTCGTCCAGGACTTCAAGACGCTTGCTGATGTGGTGATACAGGAAATGATTCGCCATGATGTCTGTGCCCAGGTTCTTAAAAATAAAGCTTTCACTGAGATCAAAATTCATTTCAGTCAAACTGATCAGTTTGTGTTGAGGGCTAAACATTCTCCATTCTTGCTTTATAATTCAAGTTTCCAGAACTGACTGGCTTTATTCATGGGGAGGAGTCAAACAAGTTTGAGAATGGGCTCGGTGAGTTACCCTGTCATTTTTTTTCTATGCAATTATATTCAAACGCCAGCATTATTTCTTCCCTACTGTAACGTGTATCCGAGTTGAACGGCTTCTGGGAAAAGAACAAATGTGTGTGTGTGTGGGGGTGTTTTTAGTGGTGGTTAGGGGGGTGGCTTGGTGTTGTCAAGTCATCTTCATTTATATAGCGCTTTTAACAATGTAGATTGTTCCAAATGTGCTTTACAGTGATAATAGGAAATTAAAGTAACAAGAGATTGTTTTGGCTTCATGCCAGCTCTAGAATAAAGTCATTTTCCAGCTAAAGTTAGTTTTAATTTATTCACTTCCGTCGCAACAATCATTAGTTATTAATTTAGATATTAATAACTATAACCGCTAACAAGACACCATTTTAACAGAAAACTCTTAAGTTCTCGGTCCATAGGGAGTTTGTTGGATGGTTTGTGTTGGTGGATCTCATTTGATTGACAGTTTGCCAGTAAACACCACACACCGTAAACTTAATCAAAGAAGAAAAGAGATGTCACTAAAAATGTTGCACTTTATTAGAGTACGTGTACTTGTTAAAAAAAAACAAGAATTGTCCATTTTGATTATTTAACTCAACTGAAATATGGAAAGCTGGCATATTGTGGATTGTGTGATAATATGAATAAATATTTGCATGCAGATCAGAAATTGTTTAAAAGTCGGAAAAGTAGAATCAGATAAAATTATGCAAACGGGTTAAATTTAGATTTGAAGTATGGTATGTTGAGGTGTGCTGTCCTTGTAGCATGGGTATAAGAGTATATCATTTTATAAAGGATCCAAGCATTCTGTTGTAGACAACATAGGATTGGCCCAGTACAGAGCCCTGTGGGATGCCTTGTTAAGATCCATGATGCAGAAAAAAAACACCTTTGTAAGTGCTGTCACAGGAACTGTTTACACCAAACTCAAGGAAATATGTTTCCGATCACAGTTTTTAGCCTGGTTTATGGGGGTGTGTGGGGTTTGATTTGGGGTTATGCAAACCATTTTAAAATCAGATGGGATGAAGCCAGTGGGGAGGTTGTGGCCGCAGTACCTTGTAGGCAAATGTTTGTGAAATCATAAATATCATCATGGAGTATGTAATCGGGATATTGGAGGACCTAAAGAATATTTAGCATGAGATAGTAATGCAAATGTCTGTTTTGAGGTGTTCACGAGATAACAGGGAATAACGTGTCATTGTCTTCCACTGTCTTTTCTAACCTGCAAACTCGTCACCTGGCTCTGAAATTTGTCATTCTGATATTTGACGTTTATATTATCTAATGAGTTTTTTTATGAGGGCATATATGAATGTATATCTGAAAATGTTCAGAAAAATTCCAATTGCTTTTTCTTTTCATCTTCTCGCTGTGTGAAGGCTAATAAAGTAGCGCGGAGATGCTTTGTGTACAGGAGTAACTGCGGTCATTTTTTCCATAAGTCTATTTTCCATATTTCTACATTTCCATAAGTGCCACCTTCTTTTAGAGAGTGAATTTGCATTTTCATTCAGCACATCTGCCAGTTATATAACATGCACAATCTTTTATTTGGCTGAAACGTGAGGTTTATAATTTATAATAGTTTTTGTTAACTTGAATCCCAAAATAGTCATAGGTTTTATGGTCAATTACAGTTCAGGGTGTTTCCATGTAGTTTCAAAAGCACTTTGCTACCTTAAAAATGTATTTAATTGCAGATTCCAAGCAATTTTTAGATATTTTTATTATTTAACTGCCGATTCCAAGCAATTTTTAGATATTTGTATTATTTAACTGCCGATTCCAAGCTATTTTTAGATATTTTTATTATTTAACTGCCGATTCCAAGCAATTTTTAGATATTTTTATTATTTAACTGCCGATTTCAAGCTATTTTTAGATATTTTTTTATTTAACTGCCGATTCCAAGCAATTTTTAGATATTTTTACTATTTAACTGCCGATTTCAAGCTATTTTTAGATATTTTTATTATTTAACTGCCGATTTCAAGCTATTTTTAGATATTTTTATTATTTAACTGCCGATTTCAAGCTATTTTTAGATATTTTTATTATTTAACTGCCCATTCCAAGCAATTTTTAGATATTTTTATTATTTAACTGCCGATTTCAAGCTATTTTTAGATATTTTTATTATTTAACTGCCGATTTCAAGCAATTTTTAGATATTTTTATTATTTAACTGCCGATTCCAAGCAATTTTTAGATATTTTTATTATTTAACTGCCGATTCCAAGCAATTTTTAGATATTTTTATTATTTAATTGCCGATTTCAAGCTATTTTTAGATATTTTTATTATTTAACTGCCGATTCCAAGCAATTTTTAGATATTTTTATTATTTAACTGCCGATTTCAATATATTTTTATTATTTAACTGCCGATTCCAAGCAATTTTTAGATATTTTTATTATTTAATTGCCGATTTCAAGCTATTTTTAGATATTTTTATTTAACTGCCGATTTCAAGCTATTTTTATTATTTAACTGCTGATTCCAAGCAATTTATTAGATTTTTTTTTACATTTACCTGCTGATTCCAAGCTATTTTTTGTTTTTGACTGCCGATTCCAAGCAATTTTTATTTATTTATTTGTAACTATACCTCTGTGATGGCAAAGAACACTCTAACTCAGAGCTAGTCAATGTATTAATCGTTTAAATTGTGGTTGTATGTCCATCAGGGGAGAGTGTCACAGTGACGGTCTGTGCTCGGGAACAGGACACAACTGCTCTGTTGGCTAAAGTCCTGGATGGGGATCAAACCGCCGCGTCCCTCTTGAGCAAAGCCATCCATCAGGACCTTCAGCTCACGGACCAAACTGCCGAATCCCTGCAGCTGTCAGTCAGCCCAGCCGACGTGGGCATCTGGATCGATCCCATCGGTAATGCATGTGTCATTTTACATTTACATTTATTCATTTAGCTGACGCTTTTATCCAAAGCGACTTACAATTGCTATATATGTCAGAGGTCGCACGCCTCTGGAGCAACTAGAGGTTAGGTGTCTTGCTCAGGGACACATTGGTGTCTCACAGTGGATTCGAACCCGGGTCTCTCACACCAAAGGTCCACTGTGCCATCACCACCCCCATTTTCTGTCTATAAAATTAAATAATTTGTTTAACTTGGATATTTAGTTTTACATGTGCAGTATTCTGCTTAGACTAGTCTTACAAGTTAGTCATCTAATTTTTAGTCTTAAAAGGAATGGTACACGCTGGCCTGAAGCCATCCTAGGTGTCTGACATTCTTCTTTCAGATGAGTTAACTTAAAAAAATGTCCTGGCTCTTCAAAGCTTTAAAGTGGGAGTAAATGGGCACAATTTTTTTTTACAGTTTTTCTCCGTCGCTTTGGTGCATTTCTCACATCACTATTTACATTTGCACAACAGTTAATGCAGTTCTCAAAACAATTAGTACAAACTGCAAAACTTAGTTGATAACCCTGCAAAAGTGTGTCACTTGCTCAAAATGGATAACTCACTCCTCAAAAGCAAGTATTCATGTCATTGACAGTGTCAGTGTCGTCAAGATGAAAAGTCCTAACATCAGTGTTTATGAACAAGATAGTCAAATGGCTTTGTCATGTTTTCATTATGACAGTTTACTCTGTAAGTGTTTACCAATGCAAAAAAAGTTCAAGACCTGAAAATGCTCAAGACAGTCCTATAAACTATTTGCACAGCCATTTGAAAACTACAGTAAAGTTTCACATTACTGTATTTACTGTAGTGAGGTACAGTAACTGAGTACAAGACACTGAATATGTATGTTTCACATTTTTACTGCATAGTCTTTGCAATTCTAATTTGTTCAGAGCATTGTGCAAAAGAAAAAAATACACCCTTATTTACAACAAACATACTGTAAACTCCCTTTGGGTAGATCGGTGCACAACTGGAAACAATATCACAGTACATATTGAAACTGAACAAACATGCATATACTGTAAATCATTCATGCACATCTCTTCTCATCAGTAAAAGCTGAGGTTCACCTGTGAGAAATTGGTCAATTTAGGATAAAAATGGGTTTTTTAAAGATAAAAAAAAAATTTGCTTGACGGATTTTGACAACTAGTTTAACATTTGTGTATGTGATGACTCAAGCAATGAAATGAAGACTATTAGTTTTATATGGAATGACTATTCAACATTCACAAGTGTAGTTCATTTGGACTGATATGACATAAGCAAATGATAATGTTATAAAACAGCAGTGAGTTGTATGAAAGCAATAGATACATGTCCAAAAGCATTTGCAATTTGTTGGAAGGAATGAGAAACTGCTACTATGATGTGCACAAATGACAAAAAGTTGTAGAGGTTGAACTAACTGTTGTGCAAATGTAAATAGTGATGTGAGAAATGCACCAAAGCGACTGAGAAAAACTGTAAGTCCATACTTTTTTTTTTAAGTCCATACTTACCAAGTGCATCTATCCATCATAAAATTGTCCCAAAACCATCAGAGGGGGGTTAATAAAGGCCTTCTGAAACTCGACTAAAATAACTAGTTTCTAGCAGATGGAAACAAGTTTCGGCAACACAAAAGTTGTATGGACTTGTGTTCATTCACTCCCATAAAAAGCTTACAAAGCTGGGAAGAGCCAGACATTTTCTTCTTACAACTCTGATTGTATTCATCTGAAAGAATGTCAGTTACACCTAGGACGGCTTCAGGGTGAGTAAATCGTGGGCTAATTTTCATTTTTGGGTGAAATATCCCTTTAACTTATGCAAGCGTCAGTCCGGTGTCATTGCTCAGTAGTTGCACGAGATATTCATGATAAAAGTGAATGTGAAACATGACTACAGAAACTGTGACTGAAACTGGAAACACACTGTTTTGAAACTATTCAACTTGTAGAATGGGGGAAAAAAAGTTCAAACTAGTGTAATGCCTTATTTTTTCTTAGTGTGTGAATTGTTCAGGTTGTCAACAGATGTATTTGGTTATTTTCTTTGAACAGATGGGACAAGTCAGTACATTGAAGGGAAAGAGGAAGAGGAGCCGGATGAAGGCTTTTGTCCTTCTGGACTCCCGTGCGCTCTGGTTCTGATTGGGGTTTATTTACGAGCCACGGGTCAACCAGTCATGGGTGTCATAAACCAGCCGTTCAACCGCAAAGACTCTACGGGTAAAGGGTAAGATACATGTAGTCACAGCTAAAGGGGTTTATTACACTCTTTTAAATTTCTATTGAGGTGACCACCAAAAATGCAGTTAAAAAATCCAACAGTTAATTAGAAGTCTTAAACTATTTGAGATAGGAGAAATTATACTGATACTGAGTTTCAAGAACGTATTCATTTCATATACGTCACAGTGAGTTATAGAGAACGCATGACGAAACAAAGTAGTATCCGAAATAAATGGTCTTTATTTAATCCACAAAAGCAAACTCAGGAGATCGTAGGAGAAATACACACGACCATGTTAAACTAAGACGATACCGGACCGGTTTTACATGCAAACCAATGGGTCAGTTTAAATAGCAATTCATCAAAAATAAAAAACAGAACTCCCTAAAGATTCATGTAAAAACAGGGAAAAATATGAGAAATGAGGAACTACAAAAATTGTTTTTGTGTTACGGGTCAATTTGACCTTATGTTCAAAATCAGCTGCAGACACGAAATTAAAACATTCTTGATGTTTTTGTTATCACTACTATTCCATACTGAGGTGCAATAGCTACAACTAAATATAAATAGTATCATTATTTGTGTAAATCCTGCCTTTACATCTGGTCCCGAAGCTTTGAAAGTATTGGTTTTCTCACACTTCTTTTCAGTGCTGCAACAAAATACAGTAGTAATTGAGAGATCCAAAAAAGACATCATTTCACAGACTTTTTTTGTCTATGAAACTCAAATAAATGAAGAAATTAAGAATTTTGCCTGGATTATTCTTCAAGTTTAGGTAAACCTTGAGTCTTAAATTTCTAATAACGCCTGTCATTATAATTATATTGTTTTTAAAACAATAATATCTTAGAAAAGGCCTTAAGTAATTTTTACAAGCTACATATCATTTGAAAGCTTACAATCTCTAGTTTCCATATTTGATGACTGATTTTCAAAATAAATTACACAGAAGCTGTAATTGATCAATTTGCAACAGGAATATTTTCATACTCATAAAGCGTGTTCAGATCTTTATTTTGAAATAGCGATGAACATGAAAAATCATGGAAAAAAAAGGTAAAACCTCAGTTTGTTTTCATGCCAAGAGCTCAAAAGATTGCATCCATTCAATTATTTTAGAATAAAAGGTCTGAAAAATGTTTAAATATTAAGAAAAATATAATAAATTCGCCATTTGTGATGTGGCAGGAAGAACACGCATGCGTTTTCTTTCTTAGAGGTTGATTTCATATCAAAATCTGCCAAAATTCCCATACTACTTCTGAATAGGATCTCTACTTCATAAATTGTATGACAATTGTGTAAATGATGGTTCATATCACTCAAAACACATATGCAAATGGAGGATGGGCAGTGATGGAGTCTGGTTGTGCCCTAGTGGAAAAGTTTGGTACTGCACCCAAACAAAATCTCACAGAAAGCACATTTTTTGAGATATCAACCTAAAATTTTAAACACAACTTGTTCAGATGTTTGGCTTGGATTTTTCTGCCATTTTAGAGTAGCCCAGGTTTTGAAAATATATATTTTATATAAAATATGAATAATTTTTTTACATTGTACATTTCCATAAACTCAAACTTCTAAAATCTTTCGAAATCTTTCAAAATCTGCATTTCCATGTCTATTAAAAAAAAAGGGGGGTAACAGTTAAGAGGTTAACCACTGCTATGGAGTGTGGGTCAAACACACAGCTAGAAAGATCGAAGCTATCATGACCCAATAGGTCACTGTTTTACATTATGACATGTTTGTCCTGATTGCAGATGGAAAGGCCAGCACATCTGGGGCGTCTCGTATGGAGACGTGAACGTGTGCTCGTTCACCCGGCCGTCGGATCCTCAGAAGAACGAGTGTTTGTCTGTTCTGCTGAGCTCCAGCGAGAGACCGGCTGTGACGAGCGCGCTCGCGACGCTCCCCAACGGGTCGCTGCTGTACGCGTCGGGCGCGGGGTACAAGCTCCTGTGTGTGGTGCGGGGTCTGGTGGACGTGTACGTGCTGTCGGAGGGGAGCACGTTTAAGTGGGACTCGTGCGCTCCTCACGCGGTGCTGCGGGCGCTGGGTGGAGGAGTGTCGGATCTGAGCCAGTGTCTCGCGGGTCACACCACTCAACTCACATACCATCAACCACACACACACAGTCAAGGGGTGGAGCGGTGGGCCAACCGAGGAGGAATCATCGCTTACTTGGACTCCAGCGTGATCCAGAAAGTCGTGGAGGCGCTTGCTGGAAAGATATGACTGAGATATTGTGCAAGTTTGAATCTTATTGCATAATCTTGTGTCCTTTATGATTCTAGTTTCATAATGTATAGTCGCATATTCAATGTTTATTTAATTTAGGAAAAAAAATATATATACACGAAGTTTGAATTTTTGGAAGAAGCTTCATTTTCAAGAGAAATGGGAAAGGGAAGCAATCATTACAGATGATTTCACACACTTTTTCACAAAGCTAGAAACTGAGCGTTCTCTGGGTTTGGATCGTCATGCGTAACGTGGATATTCATATGCCCTGTTATGGTGATGTGTTTGACTTCTCACTCTGAGAAAGGCAGAAGCATTACGAGTCTCCCACCGGAACGAGTTTGTCCTTCACCGTCTCGTTCTAATCCTTCACGGATATTTAATCAAAACTAGACATTTAAGAAATATTCTGAAATATTATTACAATTGAACTGTATTCTATGTAAACTGTAATTTATTCCTGTGATCAAAGCTGAATCTTGTCATTTTGATTAAATAAATGCAGCTTTGGTGCATGTAGAGGAAAAACATTGCTTTACATGCAGTATTTATGGGATATTATATGTTCAAAACGTAGCTGTAATAGTCTTCATTATGTATTGAAATATTAGAAAATGAAGACTTAAAAAAATTAAAAATTTATTTTTTTGGTGTATATGTTACCATAATGGAAAACAGAGCAAAGGAGCTGATGGGGAAAGGGTGTTAAACAGCTCAGAGGAACATTAATGCCCTTTTATGTGCAAAAAACATCCTCATTTAATTCTCTCCTGGCTTTGAGTCAGTGCTTATGACTAGAAAAGGATACAAAGCATCACTTCACACAACATACAAGTCATGTGATGAGTCATTTTATAACAAATACTGAATAAATCTAATCAAAATGGTGGTTACACATCACATTTTCACAATAACAAAACCCTGTTCTTTAAAGTGTCAAAATATCCACTATCAGCATCGGGGAAATGTACTTTTAAAAGTAACGCATTATAAACTTGTTACTCCTGCAAAAATTAAATGACTATTGTTACGTTACTTTCTCGACTCTTTTTGTGGCCTTGCAGTTGTTTTTTTATTGTAAGGTTTAACACAGTAATGTATTCATCAACAATCTATATAACATCCACCTTCAGTGTCTTTTTAAGACATTTAGATTATTACATTCTGAGCACTTTAATATTTCATTAGAGCGATGTACGGCATACGAGAGATCTCTTAACATGTAAAACTCGAGTAACGTGCATTACGTAATCAGATTACTTTTTGGATGTAAACGGATTATGTAATGCACATTCATTTACTCGTTGATCTGATTATGTAATGAACGTTTCTTATGTGTTTCACCCCACATTGTCCAATATTTTTGCATGAAGGGTAGATTAATAGTGTAATGAAGTTATTTGCTTTGCAGAAGACAAACAAATGTTAATTTAACTGTTTGTGTTTCTAAACAAGGAAACAAGTCTGATATATATTACAGTCCCACACTGCAGTGCAAAAGAAATCTAGCCATCATGATCTCACATTACACCAAACCGAACCACCGTGGACAAGGCCAGCGATACCAGAAGTGATCAATTAAATATGCATCTTTAAAAAATTAATAAAAACGGATTGATTGTGCTAAAGACACAACGTTGTTGGAAATTTTTATCTTGTTCTGTTTTTAAGTTCAAAGTGAATGCTAATCTACTAAGCAAACAATATTTTTAAATTTCAACTCAAATGAATGTTACCCTCATGAAGGCATATTTTAAGCAGAGCTGCATAAGGGCTTTAATGATTCTGCGTTGTCCTATTGTGATTCTGTCAACTTAGATTTGAAATAAATTCAATGAATGAAAGTAGAACGATATTTCTAGATCAGCATCAGCAGCACTTTAATGTGGTACTGAATATTTACTTTACACTAGAGTGTAATGTAGAAACGTTATACTTGCACACGCTCAGGAACAAAGCATATGAGAAAATCAGCTTTAATATAGGAGGGTTGGGGAGAGACCCATTATACCCATCGCTACACTGTTTACAGTGGATTGACAGGCTTAAAGATCATTGACAAAGAGCAAAAGACCAATTTGATTTCATTTCTGGAGAGTAGAGCCTCTTCAAATCGCTTTATTGTTGCAACTGATCATTTCTTTTAAAGACTGTTGTTAAACAAGCGCATTTAACAGGAGTTATACGTAAATCTGAACAGAGAGATCATGAAACATCTCTTGAGAACACATGACCCTCAACACATTATGCATTAGTATGTTTCAGCTGTACTGAGGCAAAGCTGTAACGTGTATTGGGCCGAGTGTAAAATAAAGAAACACACACAAAAGCAAGATGTCAGGATTGGACACTAATGAATCTGTTGGCCTGGAAAGAGTGAGAGAGACGCTCTGGCAGATGCATGAAAAAATCTTTTAAGATGATTCCTGAGTGTTAAGAAGTGGTCAAAAATTAAAAATGGACTTCTTAAAGGGAGGCTCTGGGATTTTCACATCAAAACCCAATTTTGAACTTGACTTCAAAATCTATGCATGCAGACATCTAAGGTCTACATCATTTCATTTGTGCTTGAACTCGAACTTTAATGTGTTTTTTCTCCGGCGCCCCGGCGAAACATGACGCGATTGCATTTAATGGGAAAATAACGTATTGGCGTATTGCATTCACTTGAAGAAAAAAAATCTACTCTGTTTTTCTGAATTAACAAGTTAATTATCTCAGAATTATGAGATAATTTGTCATGGAAAAAAGTTTTTGCTCTGTTTTTCTGAATTAACAAGTTAATTTTTCATGAGAAAAAAAATTGCTCTTTTTTTCTGAATTAATGAGTTAATTTTTCCTGAAAAAAAAAGTTTTTGCTCTGTTTTTTTTTTACTTAACAAGTTAATTTTTCATGGAATTTTTTTTGCTCTGTTTTTCTGAATTAACAAGTTAATTTTTCATGAGGAAAAAAGTTTTTGCTCTGTTTTTTTTTTTAAATTAACAAGTTAATTTTTCATGGAATTTTTTTTTTGCTCTGTTTTTCTGAATTAACAAGTTAATTTTTCCTGAGAAAAAAAGTTTTTGCTCTGTTTTTTTTTTAATTAACAAGTTAATTTTTCATGGAATTTTTTTTTGCTCTGTTTTTCTGAATTAACAAGTTAATTTTTCATGAGGAAAAAAGTTTTTGCTCTGTTTTTCAAAGTCCTCAAAATGGAAATTTTTTTTCATTCAGAAAAACAGAGCAAAAACTTTTTTCCTCATGAAAAATTAACTCGTTAATTCAGAAAAAGAGCAAAACATTTTTTCTCATGAAAAATTAACTCGTTAATTCAGAAAAAGAGCAAAACTTTTTTTTCTCATGAAAAAATAACTCATTAATTCAGAAAAACAGAGCAAAAACTTTTTCCCATGAAAAATTATCTCGTAATTCTGAGATAATCAACTCGTTAATTCAGAAAAACAGAGTAGATTTTTTTTTTCTTCAAGTGAATGCAATACGCCTCCGTAGAAAATCCCACAAGAATCTTCCATCTTCTGATTCAAGTTTCCATTCAATCACGTTAGCAATTGACCCAGTTTTAAGAATAATAACCCAATCCTGTCGCTGATTGGTTTTTAATATTGAACTGCTGAACTCTGCGGCTTGAATAACTGGTTTAATCAGAATCTAAACGATATGCCCAGGAACATTGGGAAATCACAGCTACGTTTTCTTCCTGTTCTCTTACTAGTAGCAGATGAAGAGAAAGAAAAGAATCCCTGAGGTCTGTGTGTGATTTATACACTATATCACAAAACATTCAGCCAACACTTTCCATCAGATTCAAGCCTGACAAAAACAGAGACACCTTTAAAGTAAAACTACACCCAAAAAAATGGGTCATCATTTCCCTCACTTTGTTCCAAACTCTGATGCTGTTATTTAGAAGAACACAAAAAGGACAATTTTTAGAAACTTCATGCAGTTTTCCAAAAGCTAAAGTTATTCACTGCTATTCATCCCTCCACTGAAGATACAAAATGGACGACCTCTTCAACCCTAAACCCAGAAGAACATAAACAGTGAACGGTTTGAATTCGGGTCTTTGGGTCGTCACACAACGTCATCATCAAAACATCAAGTCACAAAGACTGCTTTTACGACATTGGGTATTTCGTTCTTGCTGTGCTGAAAAAAAGAAAAAAAAAGTCCAATGAAAAATAAAAAGGCATAAAGGCTTGGAACTACATGAGGGTGAGAGTAAATATCAATTTTTAACGTTGGGTCAAATATTCTTCAGATACACCAGGAGTCTCTACGCACGAGTCCTTCTGTTTCTTCAAAGAATGGGATTTCAAACGCTTGAATGTTGATTGATTTTTGTCATAACAAAACCGAACAAATACCTTCAAACATGAAACGAAAAGATCTCTTTTCGCTTGCTCCTCTACGAAATTCAATGCCATTTCATTTTCTAATCAGGAAGCTTCAAAGCGCCAACACTGAAGTGAGATTTTGTCCTTGTTTTGTTGCACTAGTTGGCCAATCACAGAATGGCTCCACCCCTGCGTAATATAGTACCTGTCTCAGCGCTGGAATGGCTTGCGGACTTTCTTGCGGCGGCGCGGGGGTTTCCCTCCTTCAGTCCAGTGTTCGCTGGGGTCGCTCCGCTGGGCTCCCGGGCTGAAGAACCCTGTTTGTGGAGCCGGCCCTGAGAACATGTGTGCGGTCCCTGCGGCGGCTGCGGAGGCGTGAGGCGTGGGGTTTCCCGAGGGGAAGAATCCTCCATTAGCAGACGCGTCACTGGGAGCTCCGGCCTGGAAGAAGCGGCTGAAGAAGTCCTGCAGGTCCGCAGGCGAGCCGCCACCAGTTGCAGGATGATCTGGGGCGGGTCTAGAGGACACAGACGCTCACATTTACATTTAATCATTCAGCGGACGCTTTTATCCAAAGCGACTTCCAAATGAGGAGAGCCATAGAAGCAGTTCTTTACGTCTAATAAAACATCGGTACCTAGTCAACCGTTTTCATGATAATCGAATGTAAAGAGTTTTATCTCTAAAAACTGTTTAGCGTATCCACAAGTTTCCGAGGGGTGCTCCTGTAAAAAATAAAGTGGGTGAAACTTCCGGTGACGCGGCGGAAGTAGCATTCCAATGTTATTTTGTGTGTTAGTTAGCGAAGAGGCTAGCTGTTTTTCTGAGAATTATTTTACTATTTAAAGACGCAAATCTTTATGAGAGATGTCGTTACGGAGCTCAGGGACAACATGTGCTGTTCGCGGTTGTATGTATAGCCGGACTAAACTAATTCAGTGGCTTAAACGGGATTGTTTTGATCATAAACTGAAAACGAAATCAGAGTGATCCTGCCAACGACTGTAACGTTAGTTTCCATCAACCTCCCAAAAGACGACGAATCTTCCTGTGTACATTTGTTTAAATTCTTAATATTCTATAAACTCTCTCAGCATGTGATTGGCTGTTCTCTACTGATGTTACACCTAAACTCAGGATCAAAGCCTGTGTTGACAGAATACCACATGTGCCAGTTAATGTATTCAAGCAGCACATTCATTTATAATTTTGATAAACTCCAAAGCACAATGACTAAGTGTGTATTTTTTATTTTAATTGTTTGTCAGCTCGCACAACTGTCTGTCACCATGCCTTGATGAGTATTGATTATTAATAATGTTATTATAATACTCCCAATCAACTACTGCGGAGGATAAAGGCACTGTTATTTCACCCTTTTGAATTTCGTTGAGGTTGTGTTCCCACATCGTTAGCTAGTTTGGATCGCTATAACTTGAATGACTGTCAACTGTTGAATGAACGAGTGTCAAGCATGTCAAATCGCGCTTTGTTTACTTCGAACCGGAAGTCGCGCCCACTTTTGACGCAAGGCCTCATGGGGCGTAGGAAACTTGTGGATAATGCTAGTACTGGGGTCATAAAATAAGTAAAAAAAAAAAAAAAAAAAAAAATTGCTAGTTTATACCACTAACAAGGCTCAAAATAGCCCCACACTA